AGTACGATCATATTTTCTTGGAGTCCACAGTTGAGAGACTTGAGTTTTAAAAAGACTTGGTATTTTTAAAGAGATAGTCTATTTTAAAGGAACTGAAATTTTAATATACTTGTATAACATGAATCTTAAAATGATCTTTTAATAAAAAATCCTGTACTGGATATTGGGGTAAATCTGAAAAATCAGAGAGACAAAGGAACAAGCCACTGCCATGTCTCACCAATTCCACAAATCCTCTGACTGAAATCCTTTTAGGACTTCAGCCAAAAAAGCCTCTAGCTGAAAGGGACGCTTCTGCAGAAAGACCTCTAGTTCCTGTCTCCTCAGGCCTTATATGCCTTTCTCCACCCAACCATTAAAGGCGTGTGTGCTTCCCAGTACTGGGATTAAAGGTGTGCTCCACCACTGCCTGCCTCTGTTTCTCTCCTAGACTGAGTCAATCTCATGTAGTCCAGGGTGGCTTTGGACTCACAGAGATCCAGACAGATCTCTGCCTCCTGAGGGCTAGGATTAAAGGTGTGTGCCACCACTGCCTGAGCTCTATGTTTAATCTAGTGGTTCGTTCTGTTCTTTGATCTTCAGGCAAGTTTTATTTGGATACACAATATATCACTACATGTTTAAATTTGTAAACACTGTGGGACTTTTAAAGTTATTTAAGATCTCGGAGATGAATAAGAAAGGAAGGGTTGTGGCTTAATAGTGATGTTTTTGTGTGTCAAGTTGACAAGGGGTCAGTTGTTCTGGCTGGTTTTGTGTGTCAACTTGACACAAGCTAAAGTCATCAGAGAGGGAGGAGCCTCCATGAGATCCAGCTGTAAGGCATTTTCTCAATTAGTGATCAGTGGGGGAGGGCCAGCCCATGGTCGGTGGTACCATCCCTGGGCTGATGGTCCTGGATTCTATAAGAAAGCAGGCTGAGCAAGTCATGTAAAGCAAAATTAATAAGCAGCTCTTCTCTATGGCCTCTGCATTAGTTCCTGACTCCAGGTTCCTGCTTTGCTTGAGTTTGTGTCCTGACTTCCTTTTCAGTGATGAACAGCATTGCTGAAGTGTAAGCCAAATAAACCCTTTCCTCCCCAACTTGCTTTTTGGTCATGCTGTTTCATTGAAGCAATAGAAACCCTATCTAAAATAACTAGGTGAGAGACACAAGGAAGAAGCTTCCTAAAGAGATAGAAACGTTCCATTATCTGTGGCATCATGGTTATGTCAAACACTTGGATTATATCTGTATTAGGATAGTGTTGTACTCGACAGTATAGTATTAAACTTATAGTATTGTACTTGACAAAGTTTATTTAAAATATATTTTATAGATCTGGAGAACTGGATCAGTGGTAGCCTCACATACTGCAACTGCCTAAGACCTGAGTTAGTGTCCCAGCACCCATATCAGGTGGCTCTTAACTGCCAGTAACTCCAGCTCCAGGGGATCTGATGCCCTCTTCTGGTATGTAAGGGGAACTGCATTTCACATGCACATACCCACACATATACAAACACACATTCAAATTATTAATGATTTAGAAAAAATCTTGAGTAAAGTAAACTATATTTATTTTATAACCCAGTGTGGTGGCTTACTCCTATGATTCCACTCTTTGGAGGACTGAGACAGGCCAGCTTGGATTACATAGTAAGATCTTGTCTTACTATAACACACACACACACACACACACACACACACACACACACACACACCCTATAAACTACCTCTTGGTGAGAATGTCCTATCTCTTGGTGGTTTAGAATATATTAAAATGAAAGACAAAATGCCAGTAAACACCGTGTATTTGAGAGAGTACCAGGTACAGGTTGTTAAAAAAACATTACCACCTGCTGGATCCTAAGATAAATACAGACTGTCAGAAAATCCTAGTGAGGCAAAGCATAAAAACAATGTGGTGACCTTCACACACTGTAGGTCTTCACAAGAAATGTGCAAACTTAACAAGGGGAGAGTGAAGAAGAAGTGACATGGATGGATGGGAAGCAAGACATGGAAGCCACCAGGCATCTTAGTAACTTATTTCCTAGATTCAATGAAACCCAAGAAGGTATCAAAAGGAGAGTTAATGAAAAGTAATAATAAAATGGAAATTGGTATGAAAAGGTTTAAAATTCACACACACACACACACACACACACACACACACACACACACGGCCAGAATCATAGAATTGATTGTACTATTATTGTCTGATTACAGTTATAGAATAAAAAACAGAAAATGGATCAATTGAAAAATGTAAGTAGACAAGAAACACAACTACAGGGTCGTCACATGCACATGGCAAGGACAGCTTTATAGAGGGACCGAAGAGCAGTACTGGTATATTGTATAAAATACATCAGTTCTCATCCCACGGCATAAGGCAAAATGAATCCCAGAATGAAAAGAAAAGAATTTGTAATAAATATAAAAGGCAGCCAGTGGTTATTATGCAAAGCCTTGGACTACATTGCAAGGAAAAAGTGACAATAAATCTAAGCCAGCATTCCTTGCAGGAAGGGTGTAGGGGACTGAGCCAAAAGCCTTGGCTCAGTTAGTAGAGAGGGCTTGCCTGGTGTGAACAAAGCCCTGGGTTCAAACCCCAGGACTCCTTCAGTTAGGTATGGGTACAACTCCTGCATGCAGGAGACAGAGACAAAAGGTCAGAGGTCCAAGGTCCTCCTTGAGTACATAGGGAGCTCTAGGTCAGCCTATACTAGAGAGCCTGAAAAATGTAGAAAAATGTAAGGTTTTTTTTTTTTTTAATGAAAATATTGGATGCTTGTTTTGTTGTAGAACACAGTTGGCAATTTGGTACTGGTTCCCATAGCCGCACACTTTTGAACCTGTAATTTTTATTCATTCAGAGAATGCATTTTTTTTTTTCAGATAGGATCTCACTATGTAGCTCTGGCTAGCCTGGAACTCACTATGTAGACCCGTCTGGCCTTTAACGTAATGATCTTCCTGCCTCTGCCTCCTGAGTGCTGGGAATGAAAGTGTGTACCACCATACCTGGCCCCAGAGGGTGTATTTTAAATAAGTTACCTACTAGAATTAATTAAAATTATGTTTAGGAATAGATACAATGGAAAATTCAGAATTACAAGCTCAAGACCAAGAAATATGTTTAAGTCACAAAATGGAATTCTAAGCTATAATTTAAGTTATTTCTATGACCAAGTTTTAAGTGTCATTGGAAAATGATTCTTGTAGAAGAGACAGATTATGTGTTGTTGCCAATAATAAAAACACACATAGTAAAAACAGTGTAAGAACAGCACATTCATTAATGTTTCTTGCAGGGGAGAGAGTCTGATTATTAATGTAATGGCCTCTGACACATGAACCATGGTTTGTTCCACTGAAGAAGAGAGGACCTGATAGAATCGTCTGGTCACGGAGATAGTGAGTGGACGTGACAACCAGCAGCCCAGCTAGTCTCCCCTTCCCCTCCTGCTTGCTCTCATTCTCTGCATCTGTCTGTCTATCATCTACCCATCCACCCTCCATCCATCATCTATCATATCTATATCAACCCATCATTTATCAACTATCTCTCATCTCTGCCATCTATCTATCACTCTATGTATCATTCCCTCCCCCTCTCTCTCATCCATCTACGTGTAAATTTTTGGTGTTATTCTATATCCCAGGCTTGTTTGAACACCTTCTCCATCAGCCTCCTGTGTGCTTCCTTTTATATATATATATATATTATCATATATCTCCTTAAAAACAGTGATGATTCCTTTGTAAGATTTATTTTTATGTTTAGATATGTTTGCCTCAACATACATATGTGCAACATGAGTACCTTCTGCCTTCAGAGGCCAGAAAAAGGCATCGGATCCCCTGGTAGTGGAGTTATAGACAGTCGTGAATCCCCACACAGGTTCAGGGGACCTACTACAAGAGCAGCAAGCAGTCTTAACCACTGAGTTTTTGAAAACTCCTCAGCTCGACTTCCTTTCGTGTATTCCCATTCAAACTGTGTATTTGGCACCATCTACCAGTTCCCAATTCTCTCCTGACTTGGTGCCCACCCCCCCCATTTTGAACACAATTCTGAGATTCTCTGTTTTCAGACCACACTCTTTCCCCCTTCTCCCCTAAGGCTCACTATAGTGTGCACTTGAGGTCATTCTAAGGCTGGAAGATCAGTCCCAGGACCCTCCCAGGTGCCACTCTCTCTGGCCTTGCAGGCCCCCGGCTGTGACACATGCTGGTCCCGGAAGTTGGCCGAGGCCACAGTGACCTTCCCAGAAAGCAGCCTTGTCTCATCTCTCCTGGGGCCTGCTGTGCTGGGGTCAGCTTCTGCACCCACTCCTGGAGGCCAGGAGGCCATGGGGTTCTGAGTTCAGCTCAGTGACCCTGGCCTCTAGGGGACAATGTGAGGAACCTCACAGGCACCAGCCCGCCAGGCTGACTATCCTTTATCTGGTTAAGACAGTTGCCGAAAACACTGATTACTGCAAAGGATTCAAAACCCGCCCTTGGGAATCTCGAGCGAGGGTTTGTATTCAAGAGCAGTGGGGTCAAAAATTACCCAGTGTGATGGTGGCTCACATCTGTAATCCCAACAATCTAGAACCTGAGTCAGGAGGATTACTGCGAGTTTGAGTCCAAGCCAGGGTTTGAAACCTTGACTGCCCCCCTCCAAAAAAAAATATCAAAAGTTTAAATATTCAATCCCTTGCTTCCCAAGGGAAGTTAATTGTGAAGCAATACACATACATATGTGTATCAAAACCGTGTGTGTGTGTGTGTGTGTGTGTGTGTGTGTGTGTGTGTGTGTGTCTGTGTAGCTGCTCCTGGCTTTGAACTTCCTGCAAATCTTTCTCCCAAATTCTGGCAATTGATCTTGTTTTAGTAGATTATGTTATTTCAAGAGTTAATTACATCTGTAGTTGGGAAAAGCACAAAATCAACAAAGTACTGTTGGTGCCGAACCACAGAATCAAAGTCATGCGTTCAGGGTGATCAGACAAGGGCCATCAGTCGGTCTAGAGAGCAGACAAGTTCTCGGGTCACTGGAGAATTCTGCCCTGCGCCTAACCATCCATGTGAGACACGCGTGCTTACTTAGCCTGGTGGCAGGTTTTTCTGCCCAGAACGAACCCTTCAGTTGCCAGTTCCACTGCGGGAACAGATGGCAACTCCAAATCTGTTTCGTGGTGGTCAAAGCAAAGGCTGCCCGCGGACCTGGTGCCTTGCGTGTTTTCTTATCTGACAACCCTACTTTTTAGGGTCCAGGAGTCGGTTTTTGCAAGTTCCACTCTCCAGTGGAGTCTGGGAGCCGCGGCTTAGCTCCCTTGTGCTGGCTCCTAACTGAGCAGCTCCGGAGCACAAAGTGGCTGGGGACGGGTGGTGGAGGGTCCCAAGCAGGGATGGTCCGGGCTGGGGAGGGTCGGGGTGGAGAGGGTCCTGGGTGGGGAGGGTCCCGGCCTCAGGCGCTGCGCTCCGGACTTCTGCAGTTTCCTGCCTGGGCGCGGCGGTGTCCGCCCCGGCCCGCGGCGCAGCGCAGAGGAGAAAGGCGATAGGAGGCAGCAGCTGGCCTCCCACCACCCTAAAAATAATCCACCCGCCGCGGCCGGCCGACCGGGGAGGAAACCTTGTCATCCCACGGAGTGCTGGAGCTCCTCGGCATGCTACAGAGCGATCACCAACCTCTTTGAGGAGTCACTGGCTGTAAGCTGTTGGTTTTGATCTAGTATTTCCTCAGTAAAGGCGTCCGCTGTGCCTAGATTCAGGGGACAGGGCCCTCCCTGGCTGGAGAGGAGAAGGTGGGGATCAAGTTTCCAGTCTGATTTACACAACCCTGCTGGCTGGAGCCTAAACCTGCTGGAAGCAGGGAAAGGTGTTACGGATAAATATATAGACTTCTTAGCCATTCTCTTTATTATTCAAGAACCAGCTTCCTATCTACTGAATTTGTTACTCTTTGCTCTTTAGGAGTTCGGTGTACTGGTTTGAAATTTACATCTTCAGACTGTGGGCAGACGTTTGGAAGGTAGCGCAAGTGGCCGGTAGGGGGACCGTGTACAGGAGCCAAACTCAAGGTATTTATTTATTTATTTATTTTCTGCTTGTTTGCTCCGTGTTGATTACAGTGTCTAAGAAATCTTATCCGTGGAGGGAGTCCCAGCATTGGCTTTCTTGTGTCACAGAACGTCACAGTCCCTTAAGGGTAAATGGACAGACTAAGACCAAAGATCTCAATCAAGCCAGTGGTCATTTTTGCTAGGGAATTTCCTACTTGGATCTGTACAGAACCAGCCAGACAGCTAGCTAGACTCTTTTTGTGAGGTCTCCACTGAAGTAATTGCGGTATTTGCTTTTGTAAATAGTGGGTGTCCTGAGAGTGTCATGGGTAACAGTGAAGCCTTAGGAGCCTTCAAAGGGCTTACTAAGTGCTGAGAAACTCAGGGGTGAATTGTTTCACGTGTAAGAAGGAACGCTTTCCTGTGAATGTTTGCTTTAGATGCTCCCAGAGCCTGAGGTTGGCTGGAACTCGCAACGGGCCACAGCTGACATTTTCGGCGGCTGCTTCTCACTCACTCATAGTCTGCACTGGGAGGAGGAGGCTGGCAAAAGTAGCTGGTGTTCCTGATAAGTTGTAATATTTTAGCAATCTTTTAGAATTGAATCAGTCAGCCTTTGTTCTTCTCCTGGACAAGAGTAGAGTTGATAGATGAATTATTAGAGTCGTGAACTAAACTAAACTAAAGCCCAGGGGCTGTGGAACTTCACCTAGTGCACGTCCAGACCTAAGTAAGCACGTTGAGATGCTGCTCTGTCTAGGAAACAAGAAGTTAGGCCATGAAGAAATCCTCTCCCCTGCTTTTCTGCTCCGCAAGCCATCCCATAGTCAAAGTTTCACTTTTGATCTTTGTTTTAAGGTTTGTTCCTTCCAATTCCCCAACCCTGATGACTATTATAAACACTTGACTATCTTTCAGGGAGATTACGTGTGTTTGAAGAAAGGTGTTCTGTTTCCCCTTCTGATTTTCTGCCTTCTTCTTCTCCTTCTGGGCAGAACTGAGTCTAAACAGATCCAGGGAGGGGAGGGACACTAGCAATAGATGACACTTTAGCCCTCAAGAGCATCAGTGTATGGCCTTCCTCAACTGCTCACAACAGCCTGAGTTCTGGAAGGGAATCCAGACACTGTTTGGAAACTTAAGGATTTATAAGAAGACTGGGTGTAGTTTGGTTTGTAGAGTGAATGTCTATCGTCATCAGGCTCTGGGTTGGAATCCTAGAACAACACACAAAGGTGTTCTACCACACAAGTGCACACACACGCACGCACGAACACACGCATGCACACACACAGCATCCTGATTCAGTGTCTTTGATGGACACAGAAACTAATATATCTGCAATAAATTTCCTCTTTCCCTCCTCTTGGCTTGTAGTGTAGCTGGAAGAACCTGCTTCCTGGACAGCCGGCTTAGAGAGGGAATCTAACGGTTGAGGGGAGTGAGTAGAGGAGATGTCAGAAGGAAACATGGAGACCTGTGTAAGAAGCTCAAGGATCATATCAGAGGAAATAAAATCTTCTAGACCTTTCTGTGTTATGTGAACTGGAGGGCTAGGGATGGAGCATGTTGGTCAGTGGTAGAGCATGTGCCCAGCATGTTCAATGCCCTGGGTTTGGTCTCCTGCACTGCATAAACATACAGGTAAACAAACCAATGACTCAGCTTCATTTTACCATTTCTACTAAACAAGGAAATAGTCTTAAAAATCTCATTGATAGCTATTATCTTTTAGATTGTTTTTCTATCTGTATCAAAATACATCTACTAATATACATATGTGAATGTTTAGCTTCCATTTTGTCATTATTTGAAAATTTTCAATTCTTTCTCCCGTGTGAGTTTTTTTTATAGTGTGTAATGATTTACCAAATATATGGCTGAATTTTGAATTTGTTTTTAAAATATAATTTTTTAAAAGATCTCAACTAGAGAGACTACCAGTGACTTATTCATAAAAGGATTTATCAGAAATAATATATGTGAGGGATTATATACAAACATTTGGACTATAATCACACAAGCTTTCCAACTAGTTACCTATATCATATTCATGTAATGATTTTTAAAACCCCTGAGGGAAATTTGATTTTCCCAACAGTTTATCTACTATTATCAGTTTTCTCTGTGTCCCATTATTTGTCTTGTTTTTAGGAAAAATATCAGGTCTGTTACTAAATTAATTGCCAATGAAAAGAAAAACAAGAAATGTACTGTTAGTTAATAAAATATTAATTTTTAATATCCTAACTCAGAATTCAACATTAATATATAAATAAGTCTGCTGAAGTTAAACTCTTAAACTGCTGTTTGTTTTAAGATGAATAGTTGAGATTAGTTTTGTAGAAAAATGGGTGGGGGGCTCAATGCCAGAGCAGAAAAGCACAGGTTATAAATCTGACGTGTGGGTGTGGATCCCAACTTGTCTACTGGTTGACAAACAGCTGGACTTATCCGAAGCTCAGTATGGTCTGCTGTCAAACACTCCCAACATCATTTTCATTACATGCTTGTTTTGAGGACTTCAGATAACACCTGGGCAGCACCAAGAGCTAAGTAGTTGCTATTTAAATAGTAGGTACCATATAAAGGGTTTCAGAGTGCTGAAAGAATATTTGGGGTCCTAAGGACTTACTTTGACGGAGCAGGCTCCACTGTCTTCCATGTAGCAAAGAGAAAGGTCTTCTGTTTCAAATCAAAGCCAGAGTGTATCCTCTGCTCACACTCACACGGGGTGGAAGCTGAAATCTTCGCAATGGCTGGCACGAAGCCCTGTTTCCTTCCCATCTGCACCTGCTTTCATTGCACTGGGGCACTGATGTCCAGCTCAGCAGCTAGCCTTTGTCTCAACTTGGGCAGAGTGCCTTGAATTTATGAATATACCTAGTGGTATTTTCACAACAGCCAGAAGTCTAAATGCGCCAAATGTCTATCAACCAATGCGAAGATAAATGAAATGTGATAGAGCCTGTACCATAGAAAGTTATTCAACTTGGTGGCTTAGAACACTGTTGAGAAATTACATAAGGTTGGTGAGATGATTCAGTGGTAAAGCCACTGGCTGCTAAGACTAATGACCTGAGTTTGAACATATAACCCAGATGGTGGAAGGAGAGAACTCCGGCAAGTTGTCCTCTGACTCCCACATGCTTACTGTAACACACACACACACACACACACACACACACACACACACACACACACACTCAAAGTGTAAAAATAAAAAATTAAAGGAGAGAAAATATGTTACTTCTTCCTTAAGGAGGGAGGATGAGAAAATGGGAGCAGGTAGATGAAAGGATACTAAGTTTCTTTGGGGATGATGAACATTTTTAAAATTAGCTTGGTGACAGCTCCACAACTCTGTGACTATAATAAAGCCGTTGGATCACACATACCCAAGAAGATGTCTGACTCTGAAACCTGAGGAATTTCTTTAACTTAAAGTTATCATTTTAGGAAAGAAAGTTTAATGCTAAGATGATCTTTTCTCCATTTTAGGCTAATCACATAAGAAGAAATGAGTCTCTCTTTTTGTGGGAACAACATCTCCTCATATAACATCTATTATGGTGTTCTCCAAAACCCCTGCTTTGTGGATGCGCTCAACCTGGTCCCTCATGTCTTCCTATTGTTTATCACCTTCCCAATATTGTTCATTGGTGAGTCATCAGATGTCCTGTGTTACAGCACCTCATATTTCTGCCTCACTGGTGGCTGAGGTTCTGGGTAATGCTGTGTTAAGTTCTCCTCCTCGGAAGCAGATGTGTGAGTTTGTGAGGACAGTATGATGCTGTTCTGTGTGTTTCAATTGTATGCACTCGCTGTAGAACATTCCACAGGTACATGCCAGCTGTGCTGCTGCAGCTCTTTAAAAAGGAGCAGGAAGATAATTCTGTGAGGCAGAACTGAAGTGTTTCTGGACTGCTTGCTTCATGCTGTGAGACAGGATAGACACCGGACAAGACAGAGCTCTTCCCTCCTGTGCAGACCACAGGAGCAGATGAACCATGACAGCTCTATCTTGTCAGCCCCTTTGCAAAATCAGGGCAAATCACCCTGAGCATTCACCTGCCAGAGCAGCTGACTCCTGGGGGGCCGGAGGGGAGGTCTGCAGAATGACATGTCCGGTCTTGAAAGAAGGAGACTGGTAGGTTGTGTCTTAGGGAGAAAGAATTCTTATGAAAACCACTTGGAAGGTTAGTTGGATGTGGTAGTTAAGACCTGTAATTCCAGCACCTGGGAGGCTAAGGCAGGAGGATTGCCATGAGTTCTAGACTGGGATGGGCTATATAGTGATACTGACTCAGGAAACAAACAAAAAAGCTTGTAAATATACTTTATTTAACCACTTACACATGCACACAGTCAATTGTTTAGGGCAATTATATATAATTTTTTGAACTTCCTGTGAACGGCCAAAAGAGTTCATTTCACTATATTGTTTTGTTTTTATTTTCTTTGAGAAAAGTTTCTGTTACACAGCTCAGACATCTGGAACTTGATACACAGCCAGTCTGCCCTGGATCATGCAATCTTCTTGCCTTAGTCTTCTGAGTGATGTGGAGGTTTCAGGCATCACAGCCACAATGGGAAAAAATAGATCCTTTAACTCATAAAGCATTAAACCATTTTTACGTGTAAAATGATTAAGATTAATATAAGACTAAGCATCTTGACAAAAGCAAGGGGAGAAAAAGCTTATTTGGCTAACAATTTTGGCATAGAATTCATCATTGTAGGGAAGTCAAGACAGTCAGAGCCATCTCTAGACAGGTGGACTTGGGCTGTATAAAAAAGGTAGCTGAGCAGGCCAGGGCACCAAGGCAGTGAATGGCATTCCTCCAAGGCTTCTGCTTCAAGATTCTACCTTGAGTTTCTGTCTAGGCTTCCCATGATGATGGACTCTAACTTACAAGCTGAAGTAAGTCCTTTACCCCCAGGTTGCTTTTGGTCATAGTGTTTATCACAGCAGCAGAGAAGCAAACTTACATAGGTATCATGGGTTAACATTCCAACAGAGATTATTTGTCAGCTGGTATACAGACAGGCAGTACAACTCTCAGTACATTGGTAATTATGTTAAATCAATGTATGGACACTGAATATTCTAGGACCAGAGGGTAGAAACACTACTCACTTTTTCTGTAGCACTATCTAAAAGCATTACTATGTTTTTATTTATTTTTTAAATTACATTCATGATATTCATTACTTACACTCATGATATTAATCACATTTGTGGTATTCATAGATTACATTCGAAGTATTCATTCAACTATATATATA